CTCCCTTCCTTCCACAGCATGGAAGTGTAGCCAGGGGGGGTGTAGCCAGGCTCTGGCAAGATGCTGTGATTAGCCAGCTGGGAATTAATAACAGTGTTTATCTCCCAGTTAAGAAAACAACAGAGGGACATTACCAGCTACCTGTTGATTCTACCTGTTGATTCAGCACAGACCGTAGCCAGCATGTGGTCTGGTAGCTAATACACAGATATCTCCTCAGCAAGGCAGAGTGGGGAGGGGGGAATTCATGCTTATCAGGGAGTGGAGTGGGGGGAGCAGCCCACAGCCTCTGCCAGACCTCTGGCCAGGAAGCAGAGGGGAGGAGCCAGCCCTGCTGTGGAGCAAAGAGCCCTGCCCAGCCCAGAGAGCATGCTAGGATGCTGGGGGTGTCTGGTTTATCTTAAACCAGCAAGGAGTCTGGGACAGAGATTGCCTAAACTGGTTTGAGCCAAATCAGTTAAGTCTGATACTACATTCAACCAGGTTTATCTCAAACCACTTTCAGCCATTCTCAAACTGGTTTATGTGCACTGAACAGCTGCTCTGTTACAGGTTTAAACCAGTATCTGATCACTTAAACCGGTTTACGTGTAATATCTGTCCCTAACCCTCCCAGAATAGATTAAACAGAGTTGGCAACCCTACTGGAAGGGGTCCAGGGTAAGGTTGACAGCAGAGGAGCTCTTATCTGTTGCCTTGCTGGTGTCACTTGGGGTGCAAGTTTCCAAACACTTCCCACCTCCACTTCAGCACTTGTGTATGTTCCTGCAGAGTATTGTGCTCCAGTATGGGGCTGGAGCATGCACACTAAATTAGTGGATTCCAGCCTTACAGTGTCTGAAACCTCAACCACAGGATCTCAGCATTTCATAGTTTTTCAGATGTAGTTATCCTCACAGCTCTTCTGTGCGATAAATACTATCATCTTAATTTTACACTGGACAGGCTGTGCTTCCTACCATGGTCAGAGGCCATGTAGACATGCCCTGTGTCTCTGTTGTCACTGATTCTATATTAACATTCAAATAGGAATGACACATTTTAGCTATTGATCCTATCACTTTACTCCCATGAATAGTCTTGGTAAAATGAATAAAGCAGAGTAATGTGATCAGGAACAACAGAAAAGAGGTGCATCAGGCTTTCAGAAAGCCTGTGTAGGATCCAGATCAGAGTCACTGGGTTTCAGACCTGGAAAACAAGTCTCAAAAACCTCTAAAGGTGGCTATAGCACAATCATCTTCAGCTTACAGAGGAGCACAAGAGTGCAGAGAGGCTTTCCTTCCATCAACAAATACACTCACACACGTGTCAGCCAAAATTTGGCTGCTGGGAGGAACAGGAGGTATGGTCTAGTTAGCAAAGGTATCATAACTCCAGGAGGTGTCACTCAGACAGCAAGCTTTCTCCTTAGCATTCTGTGGAAGGCAGGATGTTGCCTATTGTAGCTCATACTATTTGTTTTATTATTTATTTGTAGTAAAGTGGCACTAACTTGTAGTAAGGCTGTCACAGTCACAAATGGCTGCCCCGTTGTCCTGGATTATATACAAACATCACTAAAAGACAGACCCTGCTCCAAAGAGTTTACAGCCTCAGTGAGTCCCTTAGTTTGGAAGGAATTTTAAGGCATTTTTCTTCTGTTAAACCGAATTCAGACTCTTATTTAGAACTATGCAATGTAATTTGCTCTTTGTCTGTTGTTCTAAAATGAATACAGAGATCATAAAGACGAGTAAGGCCATAACGTCCAACCTTAAGTATGGACTATTACCATTGTTAGGTTCAAAATACACTTGGTAGGAGGGGAAAATGAGCATCTGGGTTAATACTAGCCTGGATGCTGACAGACATGAAAAAAAACAAAAAGCAAAACAGCACTTTACTGGAAGAGGAAGAGCATTAGTTTGACCCAACTCCCCAGTGTCTGTATAGATTGCACACTTCTGCAGGGCTTTTTGGTGCTTTTATCTAAAGCTGAGCATGCACTGTGCTTGGGGATGCACGGATCTGAAAGTAAAGCTCTGTTTTCTTTTTTCTTCCATGTTTGTAAGCAGCCACTTGCAAGAGGTAGAAAGGTTTCATGTTGAGGAGTCAAATGTTCATCTTAACTTCAACACTGAGCACATTAATGTCTTATTTGCCTGATCAGATTATATATTTTAAAGGTCTGGGTTCTTATATTAGCTCGATAGTTTTCACAACACATGAACTGTAGAGAAAACAATCACTCAGATCTTTGGTACATGGATTTCTGGGTTATCCTGCTAGGTAACTAAACTGAGCAAAGGAGAGAGCTAACATCTGTTTATGGTTTAAGCTCACCAGCCACAGCTGATGATCTGGCCAACAAAGTTCTATGTATGAACTTTCTGAATCTTGTTCTCTATTTTTGTATTTTGCTATAGATCAGTGACTAGCAACCAGAGAGCTTGAAGGGTACCACAATATATTAGGAGACAAGCAGGTGTGAGGGGATGCATGCAGGCTCAGGCTCTTCCCTGCTCCCACTCTCCAGCCCTTCTGCAAGGAGCTAAGCACTATAAAAATAAATTAGTTTTAGAAATGGGGTGCTGCTCAGTTCTCAGAAGTTATGGAGGGTGCCTTTATACTACAAAGGTTGAGAACCACTGTTCTAGATATAAAATAGGCGCAGTTCTAAAAATATAGGTACTGGGGAGCCTCCCGTGAATCTATATCCACTATTTTAAAGGACATTGTAGCACGTTTGTGCTCCAGGGGTGGCCGTGATGGCCCCTGGGGGCCATACAATCCCTGCTTGGCTCCAACTCTAGGATGCCCTCCCCTCCTTCCCCCCCCGCCACACCTTTGATGCAAGTGTTTTATTAAAAGAAGGCTGCCTAAGGGTCTGAGAGCAAGCCTAAACGTGGGCTCTGCTCCATTCTCCCCAATACCCACTCCCATTGGGTACTACTCTTTCCTTATGTCAGACACCCCTCCTGGGCTCTGGGCTTCTTGGTCTCCAGCTGTGATCCCTGACCTTGACCTTCAGTCTGCCTAGACCCTGCCCCTACTCCCAGTGAGATGTTCAGGCTCCCCAACCCTGCTGGCAACCATCCCTCTTGAGCTACAGACCCCTGGGCTTACATAGCTCAAGCCCAGTCCCCTCCTAGTCAAGTGATTCCCTAATTGGCCCCTGCTGCTTTCCCAGCAGCCTCTTCTCTTAAAGTGAGAAGCACACCAAGTGCCCTGTCCCAGATGTCAAAGCCTCATTAGAAACCAACTCGAATGTAAGTGGAAAAAGTTTCACGGGTGATTAGCAGAGTTGCTGTCACTGTCTTTTTATAGTGAGCTTTTAACGATGTGGTGGGGAGGAACCCAGCAGATTTCAATAGGTCTGGCATGTGAAAAAACATGTGTTTGGCTGTTATTCAAAGGAAAGGCAAGACTGCCAGCAGTAGCAGAACTAGGGGTGAGCGAGCACAGCATCAGCCCAGGATACCAATTTAGAGGGTGCACCGCAATGGCATCTGCTTGGGAGCCGGCACTATGTTCAGGGAGCGTGCACTGCCATAGCAGCTACAGCAGTCCCTGTGTGAAGCAACAGCATGCAGCACCCGCTTCTTCCTTCCTCCCCCACCCAGGATGCCAAAACTCCTAGTTATTCCTGACTGCCAGCTCCAAGAAAAGCAGGGACTAGTCTGAAGAATTCAAATTACAATTTTACAATTATTACATTCAGTTTCTTTTTAATGTTCTTTAAGGACAAGGAGCATATATTTATAGTCCTGAAGATTGGTTTAAAGAATGCAAATTACAATCTGCTGTGAAATGCTTTCAGATTACATTTTTCAATCAACTTTCCCACAGCTATCAGATCAGCACCTGATACAACAGGATACTGTGTTTTATTCCTTAAAATCAATGGAAACTTTCAGTTCTTGAGCTGTCTGTTATCTAAGGTTCCCATATAAAAGGACACCAGCGTTTGTTGATGGTTCCCATATAAAAGGACATCAGCATTTATTGAAGTTATTTGTATTGGAGACCCCAAACTAGATTGGATACCTTCCGAATTGCACAAAAATATAGCAAGAGAAAGGGTGTAAGAATTTATAAGCCAAGATAGAAAACAGGACAAAGAGAGTGCATTCATTCCCGTTTATCATATGAGGAACTGAGGCATACAGAGAATAAGTTATCCAGTGGCATTCAGGAAGTCGGTGAACCCAGTTCTCCTTAGTCCATGATAAGTGTCTTACCCCAAAGACCATCTTTCTTTGATTAAGATATTTGAGGACGTATCATGTGTAATGTTCTATCATTTTAATGTGCCGTTTTACTTTTTTTTTTTTTTTTTACTTCAGACAAAGGCAGCATTTATTTGAATTCCTCTTGCAAACCTCCTTTAAAAAAAGCAACAAACCCCTCAGTAGTTCTGACAGTCAAAGCAGGAAATTATGGGGGGGTTTTTAAACTTGTCCATGTAAACAAACTCTGCAAACATTGATGAGAATAGAGGTGTCCATGTCTGGTTTGAAACCATCAGCTACTTTTAATCCAATTGTTCTCATTCCATGGCAACTTGGCTTTGCTTTCTTTTCTTTCCTCATGATTAGATTTCAGGAGAATTGAAAGCCCTAGTGAAATACGGGGCTGGGCACCCTTCAATCTAATTCCCACCCCCACAACAAGCAAACTACACTTGTTAGTAAAGAGGAAAAAGAATACAGAGAACCGTGCCATTTACAGTGAGCGAGACACCAACTCAGAGGGTATTATCTATTATTATTAATATTCCCTATTTCTAACAACGTGGAAGGTGCAACCTGAGAGATCAGTGGAATGGTTTGGGTTTTTCTACTGTTTTCCGTAGGGGAGGTCGGGAGCAGAAGTACAAGGTTTCTTTCTTTTTCTTTTTTTTGCAACAGTAGCTGTGTAGAGAAGTATCTTGCTCTGTTAACTCTAACTGGCTCTAGCATTTGCTGTGGTTTCAGGATCAGTTAGTCATCTGCTGCTGCTGCTACGAGTCACGACAGAGCCCAGCTTATACAAGCCTCCTCCTTTTCCAAGACAAGCAGGAGGAAAAAAGGTGGGGGAGAGAGAAAAGGGTAACCACAAGTGTGTAGGAATAAGGGGAGACAGTTATGAGGTGGGGGTGACTGTTTGCTTGTGTATCTCCCCCCCATGCATGTATGTAATAGGGCACTGTCCCTTCCTATGAGGGTTGGGATTCAGTGGTGGAGAACAAGGAGCTCCCTGAGTACCTGTGTGGGGGCATAACTGAGAGTTTCTCTCTCCCCTGACAGTGAATAAGAAACAGGTGTGTGAGTCCCTGCCTGGTTAGCAGGGGAATGAATGTGTGCCCCTGACTCCTCTCTTTCTGCCTCATGGCTCTTTCTCTCTTTCCCGAGGATGAGGGGGCTTGGGCAACTGTTTCTTCCCATATTCTTCACCCTCGTCCTCATAGTTCATTTGAAGGACACCATGTCCTCTGCTCTGCCTGGCAGTGCCCACCAAACAGAGCCCCTCCTCACCAGTGGGAGCCACCAAGGCCTCGCCTGCATTGGTATGTATTCAAGTTTTGCTCACTCCCTTTACTAGTTCAGTAGCTGCGACGCTGGCAAACAAAGGAAATCTGGAGACAGAATAAATCATGCCTAATCTATCACAGCATCTACGGCTGCTGCAGCACTCTTCCATGAAATAACTGCCTTAAAACTCTCTGAGTCTAATAAAGGGTCTGGAGTGTTTATGACGTAGGTTTGGAGCTGCTGTTTCCAAACTTCACATTTTTCCTCTGCAGGGAGTAATGCTTGAGGTACATATTGACGTTCTCATGTATTAGTTGGGCAACTGAAAGCAGGATGTCAATAGCTATTCATAATTATAATTGCTTGAATGAATATTGCTGTGTTTTATTTTATCATAAAGATGAGGAATTCCTCTAGTATCCCCTCGGAAGACAAATGTTTCTTTTGAAAGGGGCTTTTCCTGGCAAAACTGTCTTAAGAAATAGAACTGCATTTGGGACCCGGGGCTTTCTGATATGTTGAGCTCTATCTTGGTAGGAAGGGTATGTGCAAAGTTTCTTGATATTACACAAGTCCTTGTTTCCTGGGGAAGTTGTGTATACTGCATGAAAGAGTACCTACCAAAGAGGAAGCATAACAAAATGCAAGGGGAGAAGCCTTGCACCCCTGCTTCTCCAGTGGCCTTCACTACCCTCTCCATACACATGGCACACAGGGATTGCAGCTGCTTTTCCAGCTTGCAGGTTGAATAAGTAGCTACAGAGGCTGAGATGGTGCATTCTCTCCCCTGGGGTATTCAACCTATATTATATTATGCTGTCTTTATGAGGGGTGGAGCAAATATCATCCTTTTGAGTCTGGAGAAGCATGTCTCCATTAGCAAACATGTCTGGACGTATAGCCTCAGCCGATATAGTCCCAAGGTGTAGTGAGTTTGATAAATGCTCAAGTCAGAATCAGCTGTGGGCACTTTTGATCTCTGTGTGTGAAATGCAGTAGGTAGGAGAACTGATCAATCAAGAAAAATACAGTGCTGTGTATATTTTTAAATCATTTTATACTGACAAAACATACATAATTTTACCTTATGATCAAGCATGTTTTATTTGTCCTATTTTTAGATCATTCAGGACATAAAAGCCACGTATTTACCATGTGAAAATTGCTGTTTCACGCTATGTAAGGGGAAGCTATTTACTTTCAATCTAAACTTTTTTTTCTTTTTTTGTTACAATTGAGGAAAACAAGAGAAAATATCTTTAGGCTTTGTAAAAACCAGCTTTTGAAAACAAAACAAACCAACAAGAAGAAAAAAAAAACATTGTCTTTTTAAAAAATAATTAAACATTATCCAAGCATATCTGCAACACAGGCCCTGCAGTACTGAAGACCTGAAAGTGAAACTGTAATAAAAATCAAAATAGATTTAATTGACTTTTATTGTCCAAGCTGACAGCAATCCAAATAGCAAACAAGCAGCATAAGCTGAGAAAAATCGTCTTTTAAAAATTCTTTCGTTTTTATTACTCTGACTTGTTAGCAGGACAGGTAAGGGAGTTAGTTTGCTTACAAGAACTGATTTTTAAATCAGTCCTTTTCCCATTTTTTACATAATGCCTTCATTCTATTTCTCTACTTATCTCACGCTTACAACCATAGGACTGTATCTGATTCCCAGGTGGCTGCACTGGGTCTTCGAATTGAAAGGAAAAATATCTAAAGCTCATCCAATCCCCAGAATCACTGAACCTTTTTCTATGATATCCCTTCACGCTTTGAAGAGACATGCCAAATTCTGTCAGTGCACTGAGTACTCATTTTTGATGAAGCAAAGGGGCACTTTTTGCAAGGCAATAGTGACACAGAAATCATTCGGATAACACCACAGAGCTTGATGCTTGACCAAAACAGGTTACCGACACCTCTCTTAACTCTGCAAAATAAAAATGCTTGTTCAAATCATCAAAAATAGATGGCCAGGTGCCTACTGGAGAGACTTTGAAAGTTACAGAATCTCTTTTAATCATCATCACCAGCTGACTGACATTTCATGGGTCAGCAGCACAGACAAATTTCACCTTCTTCAGACCCAATATAATGCTGTTTTTCTCTTTTCAACAACTGCTACTAATAACCTCTTCCACCCACCTTTGAGGACATAATTTCTAAGGTAGCAGAGGGTACCCTACTGAAGCCAGAGGTATTTTCAATGCCAATAACTTACAGGTGGAAATCCAAGCACTTGATTCCAAACTTTCCAATATTATAAAGTGTAAATTACTAACCCTGTTGATTTGTGATACACAATTACTTAAATGGTCTGTCTCTGTCTAGTTGTCCTTTTTATGGCATGGATACAGGAGTGAATAATATATTGTCAAGTAGCGAGCTCTAGATCTAAGGTGAATACTGTTTGCAGTCTTAATACCTTAATGCAACTTTTTGGCACGTGCCAAACATGATTTGAGGCTTTTCGTAATTTTTTTGTAACAAAATAGCTGCGTGTTATCTTGTCTAGGCAAGCGGTTTGACACACAATTGATTGTCCAGTGAGTGCTGCACAAAGCTATATGTAGAACCCTTGTAATAACACCATTTATTAGAGACTGAAAGTCTGGGGTAAAATCTGGTATTGGGTAAACCAATGTAAAGGCATGGCAACTCTACTCATTTAAATCATTCTGGAAGGAGGAAGTGTGAGCAGGATTTAGTCAATACTCAGTGTAAGTTTCAAATGTTTTCTTTGGATACGTGATACAATAATGTGTATATTAATCCTAGGTGTAGACCACTTTGGAAGTGACAGTATAGAAAAACTGAAGAGATATTTTCATTCTAAGCCTGTTTTCAGGGATGTTTAACTTTCAAAACATTTTCAAAAAGGTAAATCTCATTTTCAAAAGTGACCAAAGAACCTAATGTCACAGACACGTGACCCATATGTTGCCATAGCCAGAACTGATGTAGTGACTGCCATTTTTCAGTCTTATTATGCAGTGGAGTGACTTACACTGGTGTAGGGCTGCACATCATTTATCTGTTCCATATATACACAGGTGTAAAGGCAGATTAAGCCAGGATGTATATATATGTTTATATGTTCATTCCCTAAATTTCATTAGAAGTCTGTGGCCATAAAATGTAATTTATAGTCCAAAATGTGTTCTGTAAAATATGATACATCAGTGTATGTGATCTATGTACATACTATGGTATGTGTACCATTATACATGCACTTGGGCATGTATGAAGATATTACTGATTATAGGTTGAAATTCCTGAAGTTTCCCTTCATCTAAAGGCATCGTTCTCCTTGGGAAAAATTACCTTTTGGCTCTTTTGAATAATATGATCATGAAAAGTTGCTTGAGTCCCTTGACTGCGTTTCACCCATGTAAATAAGTTATCACAATATATAGTAATAGAAGGTACAGCATATACTCAAAAGGAATGAGTTTCTATGCTTTTAGAAGTCATAAATTTGCAACTCTGTTTTGTCAGTTGTAACATTTTATGATTGTAAACCTTTTGGTGTGGGAACTGAAGGAGCACATTCCTATAAGAGGCTATATACAGTATCAAAAGGAGAAAATGAATAAGGATAGCATCTTCTGGAACAGAACAATTTTGTTTCTGATATCATGCAGTACTCAGCATGGTGAGCAAGAAATGCAACCAATGTGTATCTTCAGTTTCTTGTATAACATACTGAGCCACACCTACACTGCGTTATACTGACAATCTTCATATTAATAATTTGCTTAGCAGCATATTGCAGCATGCAGCACAGCTCAAATCCAAGGTAAATTTTAAAAGTATGCGAATACTTTACATAAAGTATATTTTCTCCTAATATTTTATGTTACATTATAAGCCAGTGTTTTCAAATGTAGGTACCTAAAATAATCTTTACATAGATCAGTATCTTTCTGAAATATAATTACACATAAAAATGGAATTGGAAACTAAAATCTGAATTATTTTCCTTCAAATGCTCCCAAAATCAAATCCCTCTGTATTTTATCTTTAAGACTACAAAGCCTCTGGATAGTTTGGTAGGTGAGGCATTAGAATAGCAAAGCCTATATAAATCCATTACACAGCGAGTGATCTAGATATGCAGGAGCTCGTGGAAAATAACTATCACCTGCCATGGAATAGCCTGTATTTGCATTTGTGTATTTGTCACAGAGCAGAAAAGGTGGACAATTCCTATTTATTAATAATTTTAAATGCTTCAGCTGATGCTTTAATCTAAGGAACTCATTGCACTTAAACACAGAATAGAGAGGTAGTTTTGTTACCATTTATGGTGGGGAAGCTGAGGTCTTTGGAGGTTGGATTGGCTTCTTCAGAGTCACTTAGGAGGTCAATGGCAGATTCCCAAGACTCCCAACAATGCCGAGCAGAACTTTAGCTGGTATTCTCACAGCTCCATACAACTGCACTCATTCTCCCTCCTTTTTGGCTTCAGAAATGAATTTGACCCACTATGTTTAAGCAAGTCAACAGGTAACAAATTCTCTGCAGACATTCTTCAGTTTCAGATCCTCTGCCTATACACTGTATTAATTGTGGCCCTACTGCCCATAATCATGGCCTGCAGCCTCCCTCATAGCCATACCCATGTGTCACAGGCCTTCCTCTACTGAGTTCTCTTTCCTTACCCTTGGGCTACAGCAAATGAGACAGCCAAGACATATATATTATTGCTGCTTTCTGATATTCCTCCATATCCCAAAGCTTCCTCTTATAATGGAGTTCCCTAATAGCTAGACAAGTATTGCATTACTGTGCAGTGCAGTCAGATTAAGGACAGTGGTTTAGACCAGTGTTGTATTAGTTGAATCCACATGTTGTTAGCCTTAATTCTTAGCTGATTTACCAATATATTCAGGTAATGTTAATTAAATGGCTGAGACATTAAGGGCTTACCTACATGGGGAACTTAATACAGATTAAAGGAAAGTATGGTTTTAAAGTGGATTGATTATTCTTGATTAGCAACCTGTGTGAATGCTCTTAATTTATTAGA